AAAAAAAAATTTTCAGAAGAAAAAAAAAAGGCATTAGAAATACCTATTTGATGACTGCAGTTAAGCTATATAGCCCTAGTTAGGTGCTACTTTACAGTATGTTCATTCTATTCACTGAGGTTTATGCCTAAAGTCAGTCTTGTGTTCATGGATATGTACATATCAGCTGTGCTTGCTATTGAAAATATTTAGATTTATTAAGATATTTAGTGAAACAATAAAATGGGGGAGGCATAGAAAGCAACAATAGATACCAGACACAGTGTGGGAGGAGGGTGGGAGATGGCAGAGGGTGAGATAGGGAATCAAGGATGGGAAAAAAGGCAAAATATACAGAAAACAAGAAATGGAAAATGATTTGTTGACAATAACACATATGTTGATGTGCTTGATTGAGCCAATATACAGTGTATTCTCAATGGAAAAATCTCATTTTGTATGCTATAATGATGTACAGTGAAAGAATGTAAATAAAGAAAAAAATGTATAAAAAAAAAAAAAAATACCTCTGCTGAAAACCAACACAACACCAGGGAGAACCCAGATACAGGGACAGGACTAGCTGGCCTGCAGTCCTGTCCCCCACACCTCCTGCAACAACTCCAGAGCCAGCTGAAGATGCTACCAAGGAATGTGCACAGCCACACCTATGTGGTGGTACACAATCACAATTAAGCATGAGTACTCACAAGCTGAACTGAACACACAGTTGCAGTCCTGGACTGCTCTTAGCTTCTTTTTCTTCCCCTTGATGGTGTAAAAGTTGATTTTCTATTTAGTGAGAAATACGTTTAGAAGGAAAGATGAAAAAGTTGTCCAAATACACAGTGCAAATCCAGTTAAACATTTAAAATTTATTAAACTTTTGGGTCAAAATATTGAACAAATATATACAATCCCATTTTACTAAAACTGTTTTGTTTTTTTTCTTAAGGACCAGGGTTGACTAATGCTTAAACAACTCTGTTCCACACCTTAGACTTTGTAAATTGTGTAACAACCAATATACAGTGTATAATTGTTTTTAAATTAAAATAAGGGTACTTTTGGATTCTCAATTTTGAACTTAACGTGAACTAAGTGGCATCCTGTTAACATTAATTGAGGGCAATGAAAGACATCTGTTCTTGCATATTTGCATCATTAGTAATCAAAATACACCTTAATTTCAACAATGGCAGGTGAGCCTTCCACTCTCCACCCCCACACCAGGGTCAGGCTCACATGTTAAATCCCAAGAAAATAATTTCTAATCACTTATCGTTGGTACACCTCTGTATTTTTTTGTCTCAGGAAATCTTGATTTCTTGTATCATAGATCTTTTAAAATAAACCACCAAGGGCTAGTGGCATCATATACTAAAGTATTTAATTTTGCTGATTTGAAATGCATTATGAAATTTAGCATGCATATCATTTTAGCAATATTTAAAAAGTGTATTCCCTTCCCCAAAGTACTTCTTAAAAAGGCTTTAAAAGAAAGCACATACATTTTCAACTGTACTGCAGTTGAGGCCTACTTTGAACAGGTTAAATTTATAGCAGCAATTTTGTTATTCTTCCTTGCAGTTTTCTTTTTCATAGGTGGCCTCATTTATGGCTTTTCCCAGACCTTACCTGGTATATCAGATGAACCATTTTTACAGAAACAAAAACAAAAAGTCATGGCAGTTTGGGGATAGATATGTTTAGAGCACACATTCATTCAATTCTGCCAAAGGAGGACAAAAGTTTTTCAAATTGTTTCAAAGAGTAATTCTGCATAAATTCATTATATGCAATTAAAACAAATAAAAAGACGATACTTATGTTTGGATTTAAAAACACTTTTTATAGTGTATTGTTTTTATTAAGTGGTTACACCAGAAGGTGTGATGGTAGATACAGTGGGTGAGTAAAGCTGCCTGAGCCTGCTCGGGCCATATCCACACATCAGCCCACCTGAACTGAGATCAAGGCTAGAGAAGACATGGACAGTCGCCATACCATGTTCATGGGAAGGCCCAAGAATGATGGTAAGAAAGAGGGAAAAAGAGTTAGAGATCTGACTTTTCTCCTAGATGTTAATGTTTTGGTCTATAAACTGGAAAGGCAGGCTCAGACTTAAATAAATACATTTGAATAATGGCCTTTATTGAGCAATGTCCACCAATTCTGCTTCGAGTGGGTTTTTCACTTGAGCAGCAGCACCCATCTCTCACCTCGCTGAAGGCAGAACCACACCAGGACTCCAGCTGAGGTCCTTCTCTCTGTGTCTATGAAGGGATGTAGTAAGTGCATCACTGTTCTTAATGGAGAGGACAATAATGCCTTTTCTCTGACAGAAAAACAACCAGCTTCACTATGCAAGACAAGACTTGGTCCTCAAGTTAACTTCTTTAGTTGATTTTGTCCTGGAATATATACAAGTTATTGGTGGCAGCTACAGCAATAATATTCTCCATGGGATGCCAGGCTGTGTGAAGGATCTTCTTATTGAAGTCCAGACTGTCCACACTAATCTCGTCTTTCTTTCTCTTACCACCTGTACATACTTTCCGAGGCTTTAAGCTGGCTCGGGGTTTGCTGTTCTCTCTTGAAGCTTCCAGTGTAACATCCCTGCGTGTATTTCTATCAAACATTCTAAAGAAGTTGTTATAGGACCCAGTCATAATAGCACTGTTCAAAACAAGAAAACAAACACAACATTTCTAAGTGACTGGAAATGCAAGCAGAAAGGATACAGACCCCCTACTCTCCCTACAGTGCTGAACTCAGCATACTAAACAGGCAGTGTAGATTCCTTTTATTACACCCCCACCCCCCACCTTCTGCTGTTTAACCAAGTTATTTTTAGAAATAAGGACTCTATGTTTGTTGTGGCATTATTCACAATTACTAAGACATGGAACCAACCTAAATGTCCATGAACAGATGAATGGATTGAAAAAGTGTGGCACATATACTCTATGGAATACTACTCATCCATAAAAATACAAGACTCTGGATTTTGACAGAAAGAGGATAAATACGAAAGATTTACTGCTGAGTCAAGTAAGCAGTTATGAAGGAGAGACACTGTATGTCTCCACTTAATATATACCAACTGTCCACAATCTATAGAGTAAACTGAAAGATTAGAAAATATAGAAACATGGAAAATGGGGACCAGCCAATGGTGTAATGGCTACATCATGGCTGGACTCCCATGTAGCTGACCGCAGTTCGAGTCCCAGACCGGGTGGCTTAAACTTACGCCAGGCGCATGTGCATGCATGCCCAAGATCTCGAGAGAATGGAGGAGAAGGGACTGGAGCGTGGCCAAAACAAGACCAATGGGCAAGACCATTAAGCCTCCACCTGTCCTTTTCATCATTCTGACATTTTCATCATTCTGATGGGTGTGAAAGGGCATCCCTGTGGCTTTAATGTGATTGGGGATGAACATTTTTATTCATTTATTTTTCTGTTTCGGTTAATTCCCATTCATAGTTTTTAGTTTGCCACTTTCTTAATGAACATAATTCTTTATTATTCTGAATACTTTTATTTTCTTTTGCAGGTTTTATTTTAATTTAAAGAAGTTTAAAATCTTAGTATAGTTGAATTTTTTCATGTTTGTCTTTATTCTTTGAGATCTGGGGCTTTAAGATTGCCCTTTCAAATCCAGAGACCATTAAGATGCTTTCCCATGGTTTCTTCCAGTGTTTAAACACCCAGAGCTTACTTACCAAATGGTTTGGAGGAGAAATCCAATTTTCCCCCATCATGGATAAACAATTTAGACTAATCAATATATGTTGTATGGGGCTGGCTGGTGGCATGGTGCTTAAGGTGGCTGGATCCTACAGGGACAACTGTGTGGTTTGAGTCCAGGACTCAGCAGTTTGAAAAACATGCTAAGGGACCAGCAGTTAGTGTAATGGCTATGTCACTGGACTCCCACACAATCTACTGCGGGTTGAGTACCGGACCCGGTGGCTTAAACTCATGCCAGGCACATGTGAGTACGTGCCCAAGATCCCGAGAGGAGAATGGAGGAGAAGGGAATGTGGTGTGGCCATCTCCCCTGGGGGGTGATTTCTCGCTTTCTGTGTCTCTGTCTCTCTCTGTCTGTCTGGTGAACGTACACACCCTATAGCAAAAACTCTCCAAAAAAAAGAAAAAAAGAAAAAGAAAAACAAGCTAAACACATATGCTTGTACCCAAAATCCCAAAAGAAGGGGTGGAGAAAGGACTACAGTGTGACCATTCTTCCCTGAGGAGTGCTTGCTCTCTATGGCGAATGTATGTAACCTGTGGCAAAATTATTTAAAAAAAAAGAAAAGAAAAAAAAGAATATATATTGTATACAGCCCATGTCACTTTAGTTTTACTCATACCTTCACTGACTATTTACTCATCTTTCTATATCACTCTCAGACTCTTTTTCCAGAATCATTCTCCACCTGCTGGAAATACATCCATTAAATCTTACTCTCTTGAGTTTCCTATTAATGGTGAATTCTGTTTTCCATTTGAAAATGCCTTTATCAGGTGCACAATCCCTCCGGTGTTGGCATGTTTACTGCTTATTGTAAAAGCTATGGATTCTCCAAGTTCATTGTGCATCTGATGGCAACCTCACTGCTTGCTCAGCATCTGCCTGGGCCCTTAGGCAGAGGGTCATCTCCATGGGAAACCCATGCCAACACAAAGTTCATGCCGCTTGCAGTGTCATGAGGAATAAAATCCTTTGTCTCTAACCCAGGAACTTTATGCATTCAGCCAACATCAATTAAACTTTATAAGATAGTATATTAGTCTGTAAGAATTAAAAAGTTCTGTAAGAATTAAAAAGTCCAGCTCAGGCCAGCCAGGGGTGTGGTGATTAAGACAGCTGGATCCTACCTAGTTGACTGTGGGCTGCATGGCTTGAATCCCAGACCTGGTGGCTGAAGAAAACATGTTTTGTGTGTGTGTGTGTGTGCCCAAAATCCTAAAAGAAGGGAGAAATGGAGAAGGGACTGCATAACCATTCTCCATGGAGGTATGGGAAGGGATTTCCCTCTCTCTGGAGAGCTCATGCACCCTCTGGCAATTAAAAAAAAAAGAAAGATGCATCTATCATCTGAATATAAAGACAATAGCTAATAACATTATTGTATTTAAAGAATTTGTACAAAATAAATAACTGAAGTACCAGAACTACCACATTAAGCATGATAATAGTGAGCTCTGAGGGTGTTTTCCTATATTTCTCTCTGAAAGAAAAGGTGAACTAAAATGTGTGGCTAATCCAATGAAATAAATAACTTCCTCATTCTCTTCCTTTTCACTCATCTTGGGCATAATTAAAAATATTAAGAAATTATCATTCATTAAGCTTTTTAAAAATAGTCAACATGTACCAAGGGCTATGCTTACTGCCTAAATACAGATGGAATTTTAAGATGGTTGAGAAATCAAACTGTCGTCCTATTTTCTCCGCCTTGTTACTATCATCAAACAAACAAAAGGCCTGGAAAACCCTATTAGCATTCCTACTCTGCAACTGTGAACTACAGTTCGTCTCTTTCTCTGGAAGCATCCCTCCCTAACCTTCCATTTGACAAAAGTCTGAGGGCCCTGAGGGAGATACTAGGGGAAACCAGTGAGCTTTGGGTGACTGCTTGTCATTACACAGGCCTTACCTATCTGAACCGTTCCAGCAGCACTCGAACTTGTCAAAGATGCAGTCATTTTCATATAGAGAACAAAGTTTGCTCCGTAGGTACTCATGGACCTGGTGAGTCTCAACAGGCCTGCTCTCCATGTTGAGGTCCCATACCTTCACCGACAGGTAGTCTCTAGTCATCATGTACCGACCACTATGACTGAACTTGACATCGGATATCGATGAAATTATTTCTGAGAAGAAGGACCTACTGCTAGGATCCTCAGGTTCTTCAAAAAACTTTGAGTGTCTGTCACACAGGGTTGAGGAATGCATATCACATAGTCGGATGGTCCCTTTACTGCTACTGTAGACAGACACGTTACACTGGTGTGGTGGAACTCTGCTGTGGTAATGATTTCTGTCAGCTCCTCCATGTTAGCAGGTTTAATATCTATGTTGTTAAAACTTCTATCTGTGATTTCTAAATGCCGCAGAGATCCCGAGAGGAGAATGGAGGAGAAGGGAATGTGGTGTGGCCATCTCCCCTGGGGGGTGATTTCTCGCTTTCTGTGTCTCTGTCTCTCTCTGTCTGTCTGGTGAACGTACACACCCTATAGCAAAAACTCTCCAAAAAAAAGAAAAAAAGAAAAAGAAAAACAAGCTAAACACATATGCTTGTACCCAAAATCCCAAAAGAAGGGGTGGAGAAAGGACTACAGTGTGACCATTCTTCCCTGAGGAGTGCTTGCTCTCTATGGCGAATGTATGTAACCTGTGGCAAAATTATTTAAAAAAAAAGAAAAGAAAAAAAAGAATATATATTGTATACAGCCCATGTCACTTTAGTTTTACTCATACCTTCACTGACTATTTACTCATCTTTCTATATCACTCTCAGACTCTTTTTCCAGAATCATTCTCCACCTGCTGGAAATACATCCATTAAATCTTACTCTCTTGAGTTTCCTATTAATGGTGAATTCTGTTTTCCATTTGAAAATGCCTTTATCAGGTGCACAATCCCTCCGGTGTTGGCATGTTTACTGCTTATTGTAAAAGCTATGGATTCTCCAAGTTCATTGTGCATCTGATGGCAACCTCACTGCTTGCTCAGCATCTGCCTGGGCCCTTAGGCAGAGGGTCATCTCCATGGGAAACCCATGCCAACACAAAGTTCATGCCGCTTGCAGTGTCATGAGGAATAAAATCCTTTGTCTCTAACCCAGGAACTTTATGCATTCAGCCAACATCAATTAAACTTTATAAGATAGTATATTAGTCTGTAAGAATTAAAAAGTTCTGTAAGAATTAAAAAGTCCAGCTCAGGCCAGCCAGGGGTGTGGTGATTAAGACAGCTGGATCCTACCTAGTTGACTGTGGGCTGCATGGCTTGAATCCCAGACCTGGTGGCTGAAGAAAACATGTTTTGTGTGTGTGTGTGTGTGCCCAAAATCCTAAAAGAAGGGAGAAATGGAGAAGGGACTGCATAACCATTCTCCATGGAGGTATGGGAAGGGATTTCCCTCTCTCTGGAGAGCTCATGCACCCTCTGGCAATTAAAAAAAAAAGAAAGATGCATCTATCATCTGAATATAAAGACAATAGCTAATAACATTATTGTATTTAAAGAATTTGTACAAAATAAATAACTGAAGTACCAGAACTACCACATTAAGCATGATAATAGTGAGCTCTGAGGGTGTTTTCCTATATTTCTCTCTGAAAGAAAAGGTGAACTAAAATGTGTGGCTAATCCAATGAAATAAATAACTTCCTCATTCTCTTCCTTTTCACTCATCTTGGGCATAATTAAAAATATTAAGAAATTATCATTCATTAAGCTTTTTAAAAATAGTCAACATGTACCAAGGGCTATGCTTACTGCCTAAATACAGATGGAATTTTAAGATGGTTGAGAAATCAAACTGTCGTCCTATTTTCTCCGCCTTGTTACTATCATCAAACAAACAAAAGGCCTGGAAAACCCTATTAGCATTCCTACTCTGCAACTGTGAACTACAGTTCGTCTCTTTCTCTGGAAGCATCCCTCCCTAACCTTCCATTTGACAAAAGTCTGAGGGCCCTGAGGGAGATACTAGGGGAAACCAGTGAGCTTTGGGTGACTGCTTGTCATTACACAGGCCTTACCTATCTGAACCGTTCCAGCAGCACTCGAACTTGTCAAAGATGCAGTCATTTTCATATAGAGAACAAAGTTTGCTCCGTAGGTACTCATGGACCTGGTGAGTCTCAACAGGCCTGCTCTCCATGTTGAGGTCCCATACCTTCACCGACAGGTAGTCTCTAGTCATCATGTACCGACCACTATGACTGAACTTGACATCGGATATCGATGAAATTATTTCTGAGAAGAAGGACCTACTGCTAGGATCCTCAGGTTCTTCAAAAACTGAAAAACAAAATATATTGTTTTAGCTTCTGTCTAAAAATCTGAGAATAATGTAGTTTAAGTAGGACATAGCTCCTTCGCTAAGACTCTGAAGGGACTAAATCTGATACTGCTAAACCACTGACCTTTGTGATTTCTGTTTTCTTATACTTTGCTTCATATAAGACTCCAGAACCAGTTACTGACAGAAGCACAGACACTCAAATCTCACCCAGATTCGAAACCAGAATTTTGTGGGCAAGGTCCTGGCAATGCCGTATGTCTGTAAAAGTTCTTTATGGACACTGATGTACACCTAGGTTCAGGACTTGAAACTGTTAGTACATGGACATCTGTGTGTCCTGACAGTACCAGGCCTGACCACAGGGCATCCTGTACCCTCCTATGCATATCAGGAGGATAGAAATAGCTTTATGTCATGATAGAGTCATGGTGCCCTGGGCCTCTGAGAAAATGCCTGCTCTCTGGAGGGTCAAAAGCTTGCAAGGCTGCTTGAGTGAACTCTCATCTCAACTTAGTTATGTCTACTACCATATAAAGGTCTCATAGGCTAAAGTCAG